CCGGAGGACAGCTGCCTGCCAATCACAACCAAGAGGACAGCTGCCTGCCAATCACAGCCAGGAGGACAGCTGCCTGCCAAGCACAACCAGGAGGAAAGCTGCCTGCCAATCACAGCCAGGAGGACAGCTGCCTGCCAATCACAGTCAGGAGGATAGATGCCTGCTAATCACAGCCAGGAGGACAGCTGCCTGCCAATCACAACCAGGAAGACAGCTGCCTGGCCCACAAACTTGCAGTGAGAAAGGAGATACTCACTCTGAACACATGTGGCAAAATCCGGGTTTTTGGTGTAAGGAGATCCATATTTATTGATGCACTCTACAAAAGAAAAAGAAATGGCAACGTCACTCATCCACCCTAGAGTGGGCCCAGCATCAGAGCCTGTGCCAACAGCGGCTGAGCAGCTCTGGGGTGCTTGCTGTCTGCCCCACCTGGGGCTGGCATCCTCCCATGACAACGTTCTGGCCTGACTGTCACAAGAACAAAACACTCAGTGGTGACAAGGGTGACCTTCTGTCAAGGTAGCTGCTGTAAGGAGACATTATTCTATTACTATAATTAGCTTACATTAGTTATTCAGAGGGGGTCTCATTGTTACATTTCCACGTTTACAATATGTCTCAATCAATCTTACCCCCTTCGTCATTCTTACTTCTTCCCCTCCTCCTTTCTAAGACAATTTCAAGGGTTTTCTTTGTTCCACTTTCATCATTTTAAACAATCTATTCCAATTGTAATAATCTGCTTCCAAAATGTATTTCAAAATATTTACTCTGTGCCATCCTTCCTTCCCCTGTCCCCACTGAAGACACATCTTAATCCTGAGTCTTCCTTGGTCTGAGGTGCTGTCCAGACACTCTGTGAGGGGCCGTAGGGTACCAGAGGCTGCAATCGGGGCCTTGCATTTGCCAGGCAGGTGGTCTGCACCGAAGCCCTCTTCTGCCCAAGCTACCTGACCATGATCCTCTTATTAACACTGGAGATGCCGGTGGAGTATTTAGTCTCCACCCAGGACCTCAGTGGGCACTGTTGCTCGTCCTCACATGGGAAGACAGCATGGGCAAGGCAGGGTAGAGTGCTACATGCCACAGCTAACTGTCACCTTCTGTCTCAGCACTCAAAGCACCAGCACATCCAGTGCACGAGATGACTCCGGGCTTCTCAGAGACAGTCACAAGCCCCTCTGCTGGTGGCAGAGCAGAGATTCTGGAGAAAATGGCAGGCCAAGAAACTTACTTGAGGGCACTTTACAAAGTTAAAAAGATGGGGCTGGGAAGGTGGCTGAGTGGTAGAGCGCTTGCCTTGCATGCATGAGGCCCTGGGTTCGATTCCTCAGCACCACATAAGCAAAAAGAAAAAAGTCAGAAGTGGTGCTGTGACTCAAGTGATAGAGTACTAGCCTTGTGCTGAAGAGCTGAGGGATAACGCCCAGGCTCAGAGTTCAGGCCCCATGACCGGACCCCAAAATAAAAAGACCTAGAGACACATTTCTCCACATTTCTCTCCTTACAAGCCATAGGCATCCCAAGCACTTTTAAATGGTGCTAGTTCATGAAAGGAGCCATTCTGAGGGTCTCTGCTAGCGAGTGTGTGGGGGACAGAACTGTCCTCCAAGAAGAGGCCATCATTTCCTCTCCTGAGGGACAGTCCACCCATACACCTCCCTCCAATGGCTGAAAGAATGTGTGCTTGTGTGATCCTGGTCTTCAAACCAAACCAAGAGCTTTCCACATTCTGAGTTTTAATGAATAACGTGGTAGATGTCAATAAAGATGGTTTATGCCTGCAAACTCTTGGGGGAAATTATAACTTTGGAAAGACAGAGCTTACTGAGACCAGTAAGTCTGGGGACCCCATGTTAACCCTTTCCATCTAGTGGGGGAGGCTAGAGTCATAGCTGAGAAGAGACTGGCACTGAGGTTCCACCAACATGAAATAAAACTACATCATAATGGGCTAGAGCGGGAGGCCTGGCTCAAGTAATAGAGCACCAGCTGAGCAAGCAAGACCCTGAGGCCAAACCTTGGTATGGCAGGAACTAAAACCTATGACACAAGACATCATACTCTTACTTTTTACCTTCATGCTTTGGATCGTAACAAACCTACAGTCCTCTCTCCTCCCCCCAGGAATTCCTCCAAATATGGCTGCATGACAAAGAAGTTGTGTAGTCTTTCAACTTACCTAGATATCTTGGGTAAAAATAGTCCTGTGGACAGAGAGAGAAAGACAGCTGTTTACTGGCACAGTCAAAGGTTCCTCAAATACCACAGCAGCCGGTTATCAAACGTAGGACACAAAACCCTCTGGGGACAGGTGATGGAGATGAGACTCCTCTACCACAGCTCCTGACCGAAAGCTGCTTCCAGGGAGGAAGGTGCTGTGAGGAGCAGAAGCCCCAGAGGCCTCTGCTGACTGGCCTCTGCAGAACGGCTCTGAAGCATCCTTACTTGTGACACAAGCAAGTCACTGTTCCTTGCAGCATTCAGAGTGCCTCTGCAGAGGACACTCCGGGGAGAAAACGTTCCAGAAAGAGGCCCAATCATATTCCCAAAGACGAGGAGTTGCCTTAGCTATGGACTCCCCATGTCCAGCACCCACAACACTGGCCTTCCTTCATCATACAAAACACATGCGCTGGCCAAGCCATGAGAGGTCTTGTTCATCCCTGAGTGCTCACGTAAGAGTGCCACACTGCACACAAGCGGACTGTGTATACCAGAGCCACCTGCCCATGCTGACCAATGGCAGGTCCTTTGCTCCTGGCCTGTGCCTGGTCAAATCAGTTTCCAGTGTACAGCTTAGGGCCAATCACCTCAGCACTTTGGCCCAAACCCTCTCCAGCTGGACTGTAGAGCAGCAGTCTCTGGAAGCCGTGGTACTAGAGGCATGATTACCTCCTTCTGCTATGCCTGCACAGCCACCACTGTGAAGGTCTTTTCAGCATTAAGATGGGTGTGGAGTTTGCCCCAGGTCACCAAATAGGCAGGACTGAAGGCTGAAGACCAGTGGCTCCCCTTGGGCTCTCGGGAAAGTGCAGAGGACAGCAGAGGGGCACCTCCCAGGTACTCACGGCTTCCGCTTCCCGAGGGGGCTCCACACACACACGCCTATGCTTAGGGTCTGCCCACACACCTCTGCTTTGGGGACAGAGCTGATGGAGGACTCGAAGGTACAAGCTGGGGCGCTACGCAGTTTGTAAGGCACACCCAGATGTGCATCTAGAAATCAAGGCTCTAGTAGAGATGGGGAGTTTTGAACTCTTGTGAGGCAAGATTGAGACAAGGGGACATTTCTGCCTGAGTGGCTGTGGGCAGAATGCACCAGGAGCAGCCAGGTCTGAGAAGCCAGGGCCACAGGGCTGGCGAGCCTGCCTGCAGCTGCTCATCCACTTAGCCATGATGGCAAACTGCAAGAACAGGAGAGAAGAGCAAGGTGAAATGATTACATAAACTCTAGAACAAGAGAGAGTGGCTTGTAGCCTCGCTCTTGGGGAACAGGCAGTTGCCAGCAGATCATCTCTGGGGGAAGGCTTTGGTTCTAAACAAATGATTTAGGATGGGGGCAAAAGTGTCCCCTAGGTTGAGAAAACCAGGAATTGCACTAGTAAGAATAGGAAACAATGAAGAACTAGCAAAAACATCCAACTACACACAGTGTTTGCACTATTCAAGTTTCCAAACTCTCACTAATCATGCCGGTTAACAGTGGTATGCAGTAGCTCTGTTGCTGCAAAGTGTTTTGAATAAAAAGTGACATGTTGATCTCCCCTCGGCCAACCTCACCTAGAGGAACCAATGCCCTCTCAAACCTTCAGGAAACAGAAGCAACTTTGCCTTATAATCCAGGAACAAGACAGATAAGTCTCAAATAAAAACAACGCTAAAACCAACACACCTGAAAATTGTCACACATCTTCCTGACAAACCAGTGCTGTCCTTCAGGAGCACTGTGAGAAGACAGACTGCCCAACACCACAGGTATTAGCAGAGCACACTGCTTTAGCAGAACCCACTCCATTATAATACAAGTTGCCAGGTACCTGAACCCCACCTGTACCCTATAGGGGCCTGCTCATCTTAGACCCAGCAGTCCCCTGGGGGAGGAGGACAGGCCAGGGGCCAAGACTGGAATCAGGGACTCCCCGACACACACTCTCACTCTTCTAGAACTGGGAGGTACGAGACCCATGGGAACAGGGTAGGTGAGGATGGAGCTGGGTTTAGGGGCCTTTTCCATCTTGAGGTCATTCCCCAGGATTTGCCTCTATTTTGCCTAAACAGCTAAGGAGAAAAGTGATAAAACACAAGGCAGCTGCATGGTTAACTGCAAGAGCTGAGAGCTACAGTTACTTGGAAGCACCAGCCCTGGTGCTGACCATCTCCCAAGGCCCAGGGCAGCAATGAATACAGAGATGGCAGATGGGGAAGTTGAGGAAGAAATGATGGGTGGATGGGTAGATGGATGGATGGATGGATGGATGAGTGGGTGGATGGATGGATAGATGGATGGATGGATGGATGGATGGATGGGTGGGTGGGTGGGTGGGTGGATGGGTGGGTGGATGGATGGGTAGATGGATGGACGGGTGGATGGATAGATGGATGGATGGATGGATGGATGGATGGATGGATGGGTGGGTGGGTGGATGGATGGATGGATGGGTAGATGGGTGGGATAGGGACAATGGGGATAGGGAGGCAGGAGCCAAAAGTAGAAAATACCCAGCAATAGACCCCATTCTAAAATCCCAGATAGCCTGTATCCTGAGCCTGTATCCTGTCCTGACAAGACAATGGCCCTACATCCTATGGAGCCCACTCTCTCCAATCAAGGCTAAGCACAGGCATTTGGAAAAGTAAACAAAAAACCCTTCAAGACAAACCATCAACAATAAAGATCAAATCTGGGTAGTCACGGACAGGGTCCAGGCCTCACAAGAAGTGCCCTGGCTTGTGCCTCTGAGTAACCTCACTGGACAGTAACAACCATGGGCTCCACAGCTTCTTCACAGCCAGTCCCGATCTTGATGGTCCAGCTCATTCCCTGAGGTGCACCTCCTCAGCTACCGCTGCTTACTACCACCCTACACTTCAGGTTCTTTCCCAGCACTCTGGGCAGCACCGTCATCTCAGATGTTGTGCCCAGGAACAGAGGAATGAACAGCTGGATCCCTATCCCTGATAACAGTTCCCAGGAGTGAGTCACACCACCTCTGCTCTCCATTGCCTCTTACACAAGAGAGTGGGAATCCTACCTCTCCACACCTCTGCTCCTGCTTTTGCTCAGTTTCAGATCTCTGACTGAATTCCAGCCAAGGAGGGAAGAGCATGGAACCTAACTAAGCAGAGCTGGTGGGGTGGGTGAGGATAACCTCCTCATTCTGCTGGAATGTAGGTACGCAGATTGGCACTTCTGCATCCTGTACCACGTGAGGAGGCTGGGGATGCTCCCACGCCCAGCTCAGGTAGACAGAGTGTGTTCCTGGCCTCCGGTGAGCAGCCACCTGCCGGCAACTTACCTTCTTCATGAAAAAGAGACAAACTTCAAAATCACTTAAACTACCAGTTTGCTGTTTAGGTTCCTGAAATACTACACCAGCTGAATTTGACAAAACAGTGTAAGTAGAACCGTAATCACCTTCAGACTGAAATTATAGACCTAACAAGAAGAGAAATTGCAAGACTCAGCAAGAATGTTTGAGGAGATACCAACCACAAAGCCACTGATAAATAAGGCTTTAGGTTCATTAATAGTAAAAGAAAAGAGTTCAGTCAGAGGCTGATATTTGAGAATCTTGGTTGAAGACAGCAGGGGCAGAAAAATTCCTGAGATCTTTATCTCACAAAAGCTGGAAGTGGAGCTGTGTGTGGCTCAAATGGTGGAGCACCAGCCTTGAGCTTGAGCCTTGGAAAGCCCGAATCACCTCAGTGAGTATGGGACAGTGGACTTGGGGCCAGGTGTCATCTGTGCCTCCCTGAGAAAAGACCTGAACAGAGCCCTGAAAACATAAAAGCACAGAAGGTCCTGACCTAAATGTGTGTACTCCCCAGCTCCCTGAGAGGTGTAACAGCAATATGCATGCATGTGTCTGGTTTACAAAAGAGGCTGATATGCCTCTGACGGGCAGGATGCTCCCTCCACCCTGAGCCTCTGACCAGCAGGACACACCCTCCCACCCTGTGCCTCTGGTGAACTCCTCCCTTCTCACTAGGAGAGTAACAACAAAAAGGAAAAGGAGATAAGAGAAGCCTGGGTGAAAGGAGGGGCAATGTGATTAGAGTGGCCAGGCCAGCTGCCCAGGACACATCCGGAATGTGGGTGGAGGGAGGACCTCCTTCCTCCCCATGGAAGGTGTGTGAGAACCAGCAAGCCGCTGGCCCAGGCCTGGGAGGTTAGACGCTTTCTCCCAATAGGAAGAACCCCTAACTTGGAACCCAGGCTGACCGGAAGGACCTGGGATTAGCCAGCACAGTGAGCAAAAACTGCCCCCTGTATGGCTTGAGGGGCCCCGGAGTCCAGAGGCTGACTGGAGCTGAGCTGCCCGGGCTGCCTAGCTGGAGGGCAGGGCCACAGTCCCCACCCCAGCCCAGTCTGGGAGAGAGGAGCGGGGAGGCCATCTTTTTTGCTAGGAATGCAGGTGGTGAGCAGTGTGTGCAGAACTTCCATGCTCAGGTCTCTAAGGGTGTGGAGGAGGAGGGGCTGGGACAGCCCAGAGTGTAGAGCCCCACCCTGGATTCCCAGAGCCCTGTCCCACAGGCCACCTGGCTTCCAGGAACTAAAAGAAAGCAAGCCAGCGGCCAAATCCAGAAATCCAGGCCAGAGCGCTGCAGGAGGCTGGTGGCAGGCTTGGAGGCAAGGGCCAGTAAGTCCCAGGCTGCAGGGAAGAGGCCCAGGAATGTGTCCAACTGCAAACCGATCCAAGGGTTATTACTTGGTTCTGGGCACTGCAGAGAGGGAGGGGATTGGTAGACAACTCGGATGTGAATGGACATAGGACCAGACTGTGACAAGACAGGAAGGGATCGGCTACTCCAGCATGGTAGCCATACCAGGTGGGAAATGCAGAGCACTGTGTCAAAAAGGACCTTCATTTTACATCTTTGCAAATAAACTTAAAACAAGAAATCAACTAAAACCAGAGGAGCCTGCTTTGGGGAAGAGCAGCCCAGTGTCAGGGCAGCCAGGAAAGGCCAGCTCCAGCCTGTAGTTCTGGCAGGCAGGTTGTAGCGGGCAGGGCTCCCTGGGCTGGGCCATGGCCATGTTCCTCTCAACGCTTGTCGCCACAGGCCCGGCCCCACACTCTGTCCAGCAGAATGCTCCTGGCGAGGAGGGTGCCAGAGGGTGCCCAGATGACGGGTACATGACGGGTGCAGGGGCATGTGGGCTCACATGACAAGGTACAGGGGTGTAAGGGTCCAGATGTAGGGTATGGGGGTGGGGGACTCCTTTATGGCGTTGAGACCTGCCAGGGACAAGATTCGCTGAGCAGTCAGGATTCAGCACCAAAGAAACAAGAAAAGCAACAAGCCTTGATCTCTACCAGGAGCACAGCCTGCTCACTGCTGAGAAGGACAGCACAGTCAGCCATCCCAGGAGAGCAAAGAAAGATGGGGAGGGGTTCTAGCTTTGGCACCATGCAGATGCAACAAAGTACCCACCAGGCACCCAACAGGCCTAAGGCTTGCTTCAGGAAAGCAGGCCCAGAGTGGGGGATGTCCACAGCCAAGATCCTACACAACACACAGAGCCACTGTCCAGTCACAGCCAGGCCCCTACAACAACACACAGAGAGTGACTGTACAGTCATGACCAGGATCCCTACACAGCACACAGAGAGGGACTGTCCAGTCATAGCCAGGATCCCTGCACAACACACACAGAGCGACCGTCCAGTCATGGCCAGGATCCTACACAACACACAAACTGTCAGGTCATGGCCAGGATCCCTACACAACACACAGGGAGCTAGCATGGGGAGGGCTGTCCACAGCCCAGGGTCTACAGGGAGCAAAGAAAAATTCCAGCCACATCACAACCTCAGTGTGAACCTCGGTGTGAACTGCACTGGAAAGGCCACCGGGTGACCAGGAGCTCACCGTGTGCATGGCCGCTGGCAGAGCTGCGGCTCCCCACGGCCCTGAAGCTGGCCTCGCCTGAGCGTGGGGGCTGCCTCGGACGCCCCCTTGGCCTTCCTCCTGTTCCTCCCTCCCAGCCCGCCCTCCCTCCCCGTTCCCCTTCCCCCCCACCTCCCGCACCCACGCCCGCAAGGCTCTGCTCTGCAGTTGGCGGCAGGCCCGGTGTCCTACTCCCCAAGGACATTATTAATAGACGTCCGTCCCAGGGCCTCCTGCAGAGGCCAGCCCGCCCCCACCCCCTCTCCTTCCTCGTCCTCCCCGCTGCCCCCTTCCCTCCCCTCCCCCGCGCAGCCCCACCTCGGTATCTGCGAGCCTGCGGCTCCCGCAGCCCTGGGGTTGAAGACCCCGCCGTGGGTTCGCGCGGTCTGCTAACCACGGCCTTTCCGTGGTTAGGTAGGGCTCCGTTCGTCCTGCGGGGCCGCTGCGGGACCCACGCTGCGGGGCCGGGGCCGAGCTGGGGTCGGGGAGGGCCGGGGCGGGAGCGGGGCTGCGGCCTGGGGTCTGGGGTCAGGGCCCGGCGCTCACCGTCTCCAGGTTGTTCTCGAACACCTCCCGCGCCTCCTCCCGGCTGCACAGCTCCTCCACGCACTCGCGCTCTAGGTGGCCCTGCTTGGCCTCCTCGAAGACTTGGTAGGCGCGGCGCGGCCGGGCCCGCAGGAACTGGGCGGCCTCGCGCGCGCGCAGCAGCGCGGCTGCGGGAGAGGGCACGTCAGCT